CTCATCTTGGCTGCCCAGCAAAGGGAAAGTGGAGCTCCTTTGTGACAGTCCTTCTGCTGCACAGAGGCATCGTACAGAGTCCTCTGCTTCTCACAGCAGAGCCAAACAGTTAACGTAGCAGGCCTTCTTCATCTTCATTTTCAGTTATCGCAGCTAAATGGAGCAGCTGCTTTGCTCTCTGTGGTGGAAAATCAGACTCGGTAGAGAGCTTAGGAGAATCAGAGAGAGAGCAAATATTCCCCAAACCCTCCTCTGCTCTTCTGGAAAAAAAAAAAAGAGAAAAATCATACAGGAAGTCTTTTCAGCATCGCCTCAGAAGGGATTGTGTTTTATTTCTCCACCGTTTCACCTCATCTTTCTCAGAGGAGCTGTTCCTCATGCTGAAGGGATTATGGGTGGCTTCACCCCATAAATTTAGAAAGCTTCTTAGGGAAAGGGAGCAGGGTGGAAAGTGTGAAGTGGCTGAGCCTTGCTGCAGTGGACAGTAGTAACCATGCTGGTACGTTTTGCAGAGTATAGCGGGCACGCAGCCTTTGCTCAGTGCCTCGCCGCACAGCCAAGGTATTTTCTGTAACCCACTAGCGTGACTTCTGCTAGCTTCTTGCTACATTAATATCTCTATTTTTGAAGAGTCTTGTGCTGTTTCTTCTTACTATAAGTAATCTAAACCCACTGTGCTGTATATACAGAAGTCTGGTTACTGTATTTCAAAACTGTCAAGTAAACAAAGAATGAATGGAAATGTCTTTTCTGTGTAGCATTAGTCACGAGAGGATTAAAATTGTGGATGAAATATTTTTGTTTTTACAGTTGTGCTTAGAATCTCTAGTGATTTCCACGGAAACTCCAGTGTTGATGAATTATTAGTCTTCGTAGGCTATTGCATCTGTCTTTTTTCACATACCCACAAAAGATTTGGTTCAGCACTGCATGTATTAGCAATACGAATGTCTCCACTAGTTTAAAAAAAAACTTATCTAGATGATACAATTCTAAACTTAAATACTGCTTTTTAAAGCAACATATATTTATTTTAGGGAGGAAGTATGAGTTTCCCAGGATCTACAGGGACAGAGGTGAGTTTATTTAAACCCCAAACACAATGTAGTAACTATTTAGTTAACAGTGGTCAAACCTTTGAAAATCCTTCCCTTTTGTTTTCTAGATTGTACAAGCAATCCAGAACTTAACCCGTCTCTTGTACAGCATACAGGTGACTACTCCACTGCTAGCTTTGTAGAGTAATTAGTCTTAATAACTTAATTTGTTTTCATCTTGCCCTACTTTTAGACATTATGTCAGTGGCACTTATCTCTACCATCTTGCATAAGTTGTCATGTAATGTATTTTTATTCTACATTGTAGCAGATTTCTTTTAAGAACTGAATAATGCTCACTTACTTGCTTGGAGATCAATCCCCCCCAAAAAAGGATGTGTGCACTGCCCAAAAATCAAAGGGGAAAAGTAAAATGATGGCTTTAACTGAACTGATGTCATTTCATGTGCAGATTTCTGAAATCAAAGTTCAAAATATTGAAAACTTCTAGTATTTTGTTTAGAATAGTCCCCCTGGCATATCCAAGTACCTCTGCCACTTCGGCAGCAAATTCAACCCATTTTAGATATTTCAATCTCGGTTAATTATTATGTATTTTCTGTAGGGCCTTAGTCTGAAGTTTTTGCCTCTTTCATGCTAAGTTTGAATGTTTTAATTCATTTTTTCTTATTTAGGTGCAGTTTTATAGTTTTATTTTAAAATGTTTCATTTGGGTATGGTTAAGTTTTAGACCCTCTTGACATTAGCATATTTTACAATTATCCTGGAAACCTTGGGCTCAGAAGTTAAGTGGATTGAAGCAAGGCAAAAGCAAAATAAAAAACTTATAATTCATGCAAAATGTTTGAAAAATTGAAAAACAGATAGCTTAACACCAGAGGGGCAGTAAAGTAAGGCTTGGGACCATGCCCGAGTCATTCGGATCATGAACTGGCAGTATAGGTACAGAGAAACAAGCAGAGGATCCTGTCCTTGCCCTATTTACGAATCACTGGAACTGACCCAATACTGGAGGAAGTGCCAAGAAAAGTGGGAACTGCACGTTGCATAAAGTTAAAAACTCTTTCTGGGGCGGATGGCAATGGGGTAACGGGGCTGTGGGAATTTTCTGGGAATGTCTGCTGAAGTAGATTCCCATGTCAGCTCTTGAAGATAGGCTGTGCAATAAGTGCCTCAGCAGATCTAGGGCTTTCTTGCTTTTCTTTCTTCTTAATCCCAGCTATTTATTTTTGTGTTATTGGAGGATGTCACAATCTTTAATGCAAATAATATCACAACATCCCTGTGAAGGATGGAATATAGCACTCTTGGTTGTAAAATAAGCTATTGAAACATCAAAAACTAAATCATTACTGTACTACTGTACTGTAGATTTCTGCCGGTACAGGTATCTTGGTCAGGTGCGTGTAGCAGTATGGTCCTGGTGACATGGCTATGCTGGCAGATGCCTGCAGGGCTGATGTTAGTAGGACTGCACTGTTGCAGGTTAGCAAGGAGAGCCTTAGTGTTGGAGTGAGCTGTAAGGAAAACAATACAGTCTTATCTGCATAAGCCACATCTGTGTTAGAAATACTCTGTTGAGTGTAGCATTCCCTGTGCCTTAATGCCCTCTTTAATCATGAAAAATAATTTTTCCCATGTGTCTTAACATCCTCTGACAGAACAGGACCCCAGCTGTAACTGAACTGCAAAAGCATAGATGTACCATATACATATGTATAATAATACCAAGTGTAAACCAGAAGCTGTGTTAAAAGTGCTCACAATAGTTGAGTGCTTTTAGAAACACCTCTTGGTAAAGGTATGAACACAGAACTTTCTCTACTTGCATGAGGAATAACCTGCCAAAAAGCACTAAGCACTGATGTTACAGAAGGTTGAAGCCATTTTTATATAATGCTTCTATGTAAAAATACAGAAATGGATTAATGCTAATATTTAAACATTTGTGTCTGATTTTGTTGTGGTATCTAGGCAGCACTAGCTATCCAGGACAGCCACAGAGAGCTCCATAGGTTACTCCTGCAAGAGAATGAGAAGATCGGTCGGGGCCATGGTTCTCGGCTAAACCTCCTTCTGGAACAAGAAAAATACCGGAATCTGGAAAAACAAAGGCTGGAGCTGGCCAACATAGACAAACTGAAGCAGCAGTTTCAGCAAGAGCAGCAGTGGTGGCTGCGTGAATGCGACCAGCGGCAGCGGGAGCAGGAGGCGAGGGAGGGGGGGCTGGGGCAGCGTGAGAGGGAGTGCGGGTGCCAGGAGGAGCTGCTGGAGAGGAGCCGACAGGGACTGGCACTGCAGCTGCAGGGGGACGCGACGAGACTGGAGAGGCTCCCACTGGAAGCACCATCAACATAGTAGCCTGTTGTCATCCACAGGGAGCTGTAAGGTGTGTGGTTTCCTGCTGTAATTATATCCCTGACTGCAGACCTAGAGAGACTTTCCGTGATGAATAGACTAATATGTCTGAGCTTCGTTGGTTGGTGACATAACGAGTGAGCATGTGGGAAGCTGAGGTTCGGGCATATCCAAGGGCTTTGTTTGAACCTCATGAAGTTTGACCAGGGGAAGTGCAAAGTCCTGCCCCTGGAAAGGAAACAGCCTCATGCATCAGTATACGCTGGGGCCCATCCAGGTGGAAAGCAGCTTTGCAGAAAAGGACCTGTGGGTCCTGGTGGACACCAAGTTGAACAAAAGCAAACAATGTGCCCTGGCCACAAAGAAGGCTAATGTTCTCCTGGGCTGTCTTAGGAAAGTACTGCTAGTAGGTCAAGGGAAATGGTCCTTTCCCTCTACTCTGGCCACACCTGGAGTACAGTGTCCATTTCTGGCTCCCAGTACAAGAGAGGCATAGAGCTATGGGGTGGAGGGTGGAGATGGGTGTCCAGCGAAGGGCCGCGAAGGGCCACAAAGGTGGCTGAGGGACTGGGGTGTCTCTCCTATGAGGAAAGGCTGCAGCTGTTCAGCGTAGAGAAGAAGGCTCATGGGGTTCTTATTAATGTATATAAATGCCTAAATGGAGGGTGTAAAGAGGAGGGAGTGCAGGCTTTTTCCAGTGGTGCCCAGTGACAGGACCAGAGGCAGTGGGCACAAACAGAAATGCAGGAGGTTCCCTCTGAACATCAAGAAACACTTTTTTCCTGTGAGGGTGACTGAGCACTGGCACAGGTTGCTCAGGGGTGTTGTGGAGTCTCCATCCCTGGAGATATTCAAAAGCTGTCTGGATGTGGTCCTGGGCAACTTGCTTTGGGTGGCCCTGCTTGAGTGGAGGGTCTGGACCGGTTGACCTCCAGGGGTCCCTTCTAACCTCAACCATTCTGTGATTTCAAGCTGGGTGCCCTACAGAAGCCAAACTCAAGCTGATGAGTATTATATTGAGGAGATGGAAATTGTAACTGTGAGAATCTGTGTTTTATTCTCCTGTGTTTGCTGCTGTGTTTGCAAGATGCATTGTGTCTCCTGCCTCTTGTAGGAAAGCTAAATTATTGTAATGCTTGATGCATATAAAGCTTTTAGTGAAGTCTTTGGCTGCTGTTCCTTGTTCCTGGACAACAGCACTGTCTCCAGTGAGGAACAGTGGCTGCTCCAGGCTCCATCCCTGGTAGTATAACTCCTTAGAGATGGTCATTATTAGGGGATGCAATTTAAAGTAGCTCTGAAGCTGCTTAAGCATATAATACTAAAAACAATCAAGTTTTTCTTGAGGGTGAAGGATAAAGGCTGACTTTGAACTCAACTGTCTGGTTGCTTAGCTGCCAGGTGGGACCTGGGGTCTAGTCCCTGCCTCAGTGGATACAGTCTTGATTTCCATTACTATTCTCTAAAGCACCTGAAAATCAAAACATTTTGCCTGGCTTCTGCATATATCGAAAGCTCACTGACCCAAACAGCTTTTTTTTTCCCTCAGGTTTTCATTTTCACAAGAAAATCTGTAGAGCCTTTCTTCAGGCCATCACCTCCCTAGTTTTTCACCTGGCAACTGACCCATAACGGGCAGTGACCATTCGGTGTCTAAGCCTGTGCCTGCATGAGGGGGTGAAGGATTGGCCTCTGACCTCCCCCTTTTCATCCGGCTTTTGTGAACACCGTGTGAACATGACTTACCCGTATATGCTTGCCCAGCCCAAACAACGAAGGCACTTCTTACTAGTATAGCTTGTGGTACAATTTTGACTTGTTTGGCAGTGCTTAGGAAGTGGATGATAAAACCAAAACTGAACTTGCCCATCAGCTTTAATGGCTGGGATTTCTGAAATCTTTTGAGGAGAGGAGATTGAAGACAATAGCCTGATGCAGAGATGGCCAGGATCGCACAGACAGAGAGGCAAAAATAATGAAATGCTGAGTGCCAGAGAGTAGTGATTCTTAATCTAATTTTTCATATATAAGACTACTTGTATTTTATTTTAAGTAAACTACATGGCTTTGGATGCATTCCAGGCCTTGGGATCATTTTTGTCCTGTTTTCCACTACCATACTCCTTGCAGCAGCAGAGCTGGCTGAGTGGTTGCCAGTCAGCCAGTATTCCCAGCTCAGTGTTTTTGCCATTACTGAACCTAGCTAGTTTTGGATGGCCAAACACTGCAGTAACTCACACTGCTATTCTTGCTTTTTTGTGAGCTCGGACTTGATAAACACCTGCAGGCAGGAAGTCTTTGCAGGAGTTGCATTTTCAGCCCCTGGGAGCTGTGGCTGCCTGCTGAATACTGTTTGCCACCCCCAATTTGACTGCCACAGTCCTTTCTCTATGTTTACCTGTCTGCGTAAGGTACAGTGTTATTTTTGGATTGCAGTGTACACAGATTTACCTATGTGAAGTGGTACCTCATTGAGCCATGGGGCAAAATGTTAACCCCCTGAAAGGAGTCGACAGAGCTCAGTGCATCCCAGGTAGTAGCCCTTCGTTATTTGCTATTTTGCAGTTATCACTGAATTTTCCTGTGTTTTGAGGGGAGCTAAGGCAAAATGTACTACGTTATTGCTGTTTACTCCTGAATGCACATCCAATTTAACATGTTTTAAGGTTAAGTTCTGGGAAATCAGGTGACTATTTGCTATGAATCCCCATTCTACCTGGCATTTAACATTATGTATTTATGTAAAGATTCTTCAGGATGATGCTCATAGTCATATGGTTTAGTTTAGGTGGTCCTGTGAGGATCAGGGAGTTGGACTCGATGATCCTTATGGGTCCCTTCCAACTCGAGATACTCTGTGATTCGATGATTCTGGTGCTGCGCAGAGATGAAAATACTGTTCTCTGTTTTCTTTTTTCCCCTTCTGCAGATACTGGGATGCAATCAGTCAGACAGCTTACATGGCGAAAATACATTCTACTTAAATGAAGCTGTAGTGTGTGTGTCTCTAAGCAGTCTCAACAGATCAGATTCTTCTCTTGTTTGTGAGGATGGTGTGTATGGGCTGAACATCTCAAATTCTGATATGCCAAGGACTAGTGAAAATCAGATGGACCTCAAAATGGACACTTCTTGTCAGCCAACGTTAACTAGTGCACTGTGGAAATCCACTGATCCTTACCAGCAGATGTCTTTTTCCTCCAAAAGCAACAAGGATGCCTTTAATAATGGTAATTAACACTTTATTTAATTAACAAGTAGTACGGGCAGTTTGCCACCTCTCAGGATGAATAGTCCTAGGAACAAAGACAGCTTGGTAGTGGTGGAAGCAATAGATTCTGCTAAAACAATTGCATGCATATATGTATGGTGAGAAAACAAGCAGAAGAGAAATACGGAAAACTTTTGGAAAAAAAAAAAAAAACACGAAAGCCCTGTTTGTGTCTGCATAACAGTACTCAGAATGTTGTTCTCTCCAAATCCTTTCCCAGTGCTTTTTGACTTAGTTTTTTTTTCTGTGAACTGAAGTCACTCTTGCTGTTTCAAGTGCATTTTATTGGCTGTTTTAGAACATATGTGCATTACTTGATGATTTCTAGTTAGAATTGCTTTTGATTTACCATCTTAAAATGATAACCAGTGGTCAAACACCCTCTTCCTTCTTCATTGATAATGAAATGAAAATATCTTGAAAGACTCTGTAGTTACAACATCACTTTTAAGGGATAATATAATCTTTGACAATAGGTTTCCATGTTATTAAAAATAGCTCTTATTGCATTACCTTCCTTTATTCTTGTATTTTACCAGAACCCCCAAAGATATGTAGATTGCATGGCAGTTATTGACAGTGGCTACCGAAACGAGTGGAAGAGGCCACCTATCTGAGCACTGCATTGCACTGAAAATTCCCTGAAGGACTTAAAAACATGCTAATGAGAAACTCTATAAACTATCTGGGTTTTGTTTCTTACGTTGCACAACACTAGTTTTGATCTGACTTGGTGTCTTCATTCTTGTGAGAGTTGTAGACCAGCATGTAGAAACACAGCAGCTAAAAGACTTAGGGGACAATGATGTGCTTTTGGTCTAATAGATTAAGTAATCTGGTGGGGTTTTCCTGAACAGTTGTGAAATTCAGGTGAGACGTGGCAAGTCAGCACTGCAGCAGTGCCCGAGCTCCCATTTTTGTGCAGCTGGCAGTGCAGGATGACTTCTGTCCTCACACCAGCTGCATGCAGGTCAGGTCACAGCAAAGACCAGTGGGCAGCAGGATGAGAAGTTGCAAACTACATGGGTGCAATGGTTTTTAATTGTCTTAGGTCAAATCTTGAAGTTGTTCAAATAAGGAACTTGCTCCTTAGTACTCCTTGTAATGTATTAAGCAGGCATCCGCTACAGCCTTACTAGTCCTTGGTACATGGACTGCCAAAATAGCATTTTATAATCAAAGGTAGGGCAGGCTAGTCTCATCACCACAATCAGCAAACCAAGCTGATTAGTAAAAGAGATTAATATTTCTAAAAATGCCTAAATAATTAGCCTGGTGAAACTTGTTCTGGTTTGACTGAAGTGTCATTTTAGTAACAGGTTAGCTAAGCTAGTGCAAATTTGAAAGGGAACACATATGTGGGTTTAAACCTCTCAAAAGTGGATTAGCTTGCACTGGCAAACGTTCAGATGCAAGCTAACCAGGATACTTTCTATTGAGCCCACATGAGAGCGTCTGGTTTAATTAAACTGGCTTGTACCAGTTTAATTGCACTGATTCAAGATAAGCTGGTGGAGCTTCTCTCTCTAAAGATGCCTTCCACCTGCAATGGGCCAGCTTTGTATTCAGCTGCTGTCACCGCATCTTGTGTAGACAGTCTTATCTTGCCCTGGTAACAGGGCACCAGTGCAGTCCCAGCAGCCTGGGGACCAGCACTGGCTACAAAGCCGGCCCAAGAGGTAGAGTAACAGGCTTGGCTAAGTGTCTCCTGCTAAGCCATGTCTGTAAAACCTGCAGTTACTGCCTCGATTGAGTCACAAAGTGCCTTCGACAAAGCAGCGCAGCAAATCCTTGCAGTATCCTGATGGTGCAGATGGTGCGGCAAAGCCCCCTGGCACGTTAGAGCAGGCAGGGCTGGGAGCCTCCCCCCAGAGGGAATGTGCCATCACATTCCACAGTCACGTTTGCGATTTGGTGGGTGACGAGTATTTTATGCTCGGATCGTGCAGTGCATGAGTCTGCACGGTTCAGCCTTGCTTCTGTCATGCATCAGGAGCCACTGTATGGGGAGCAGGGAATGAGAGGAACGCTAAACTTCCCCCTGGAAGACAGATGGCATCCGAAGCCCCAGCAAATGGTTCTGCACATGGAAACGAAGTAAATCACTTGTTCCTAAGCAATGTGAATCAAGCTGAGCAGGACGAATGTTTCATACAAGGAAGCTGATTTCCTTTCTGTTGGGTTTTTTTGGCCTTGGTTCCCCCCACCACAAGAGTTCAGCAGAGTTTAAGATCTCTGACCTTGTGCCTCCATTTCCTGACACCTCTGCAGGATATAGTCAGTTCCCATCACTGTGAAGGAAAACCAACAGAGGTGCAATGAGAGAAAGGCTAGAAAGAATTTGAAAGTTAGCTGAAACTTGTAATATTTGCATATGGATGAGTGTTTCATGACATTTTCTTGCATCTTTCAACCAGTTCTATGTATAAAGTCTCATAATCATCTTTCAAAATACATTCTGAAATAAGTCAAAATAGAACTAAGAAACAAATACTGAGAGTGGTTTACTGGAAGCAGCCATGGCCCGATCTTGCATATAGTAAGTTTTGTGTGTACACAAAAGGAATTTCTTGGGTTTGATTAATTTTCCTAGAATTATAATGCATCCTGTAAGAAGTTTGATCTGTCAAAAAAACCCTTAAATTATTTAATGAGAAGCACCACCTGAACATGTTGTCAAGGAGTTAATCACACTGCATTCTACCGTATGTTAAGTACAGTGCAATTTAGCTTCATAAATATATTCAAATGGAAATGGCTACATTCCTCCAGTGCATAATTTTCCATTCATATTTTCTAAGGTAAGACGTATGTCTCTTCACATAGCTAGCATCATGATTATATATCATGGTTTTATGTGTATGGGAGGGAACTTTACTAAAGACCTTGGGGCAAGTTCCCACAAAGCTGAAACTGGCACAAGTACACTCGCTAGAAAAGGTGTGTCAGTCAACAGGAGGAAAATATGATTGAAAGAAAAATCTGTTAATGCTTTACACTAATGTTTATGAAATTATCTGCATGAAAGAAGACAAGTACTTGGGCTAATTAGGAATCAGGGGAAATATAGGTTTTGTGTCAGACTAGACTGAGAATTGAATAAATTACTCTTGCATTTAATTGACATGTCAGGTTAACTAACCAAAGTGATGCCTAAGGATTTACCTATGGATTCACCTCTTTGATTTCAGGAATCAGTGCAATTTTAATTCTTTTAAGCTTTGAAGTGAACAACATTGTTTGCTGGTACTGCCTTTCATTTTTTTTATTCAGACGTTGTAGCTACAGGAATAGAGTTGAAAAGTGATAGATCTAGAAAACTGCACTGAAACTTGATTGTGGGAGGTTTTTTTTTCCCCAGACATTTGCAGTGTTAACGTGAAGGATCTTTATGCATGATGCAGTGAAAAATACAGTTTAAATCTTTATGGGGAACATAGAAAAACCTGTGATCTCCGGAAACAGCCACATGCAAAATCAGGGAGCAAAAATAGAGCTCTAATTGACTAATATGATTTTAATCTTTTTAAAGGAAACAAATTTGTACATATATACATATAATCAAATGAAATAGTTTGATTTGGGCAAAATAATCCATTTATAGTGGTTTTCATCAAATAAAGTGGTTTCTGGAGGTGAAAAATATTTAATTTGCAGTAAAAAAAGCAAAAACCCCAGAAACAATGTGTAGTATCCTATAACTCCATTTTTTTTCCTTATTCTTTATAAGAAATTGCCTTCCTATTCCTTAAAGCAGATTGTGCTAGTGGTGATTGCTCTGTTGAACCTGTTCTTAAAACTGTAGGTCAGATTCATTTGCTTTACTTCCCCATTGGTAACTGAGATGAGGTTTAGAACAACACGTTATTTTTTGGCTACCTTAACATCGCTTATGGCCTAATCACATTGTATAAAAGTATCTGCATATATTTGCGTCAGGGAGGTTGAGGATGGTGCTGTATGGGCCTGATTCTCGTATTGTCTAAGTTGAATTTGTTGCAGTCAGAAGAGGTATACAATATAAAGCTGATGCGAGTGTGGTAAAGGCCAGGTGAAATATGCTTTGCACTACAGTGTTAAAAAGCCATCTGAAGATGTACAAGCTGTTTCCCTGTGGTTCCAAGTCAGCACATGATTTTGGCAAGGGGCGAAGCTCAGTAACTCAAGGCCTTGTTCAAATAAGCATAGCTACTGCTGCCAGCACTGGAGGTGGTTAATGGAGTCCCATATTGAGGGCTTTGTTGAGTAAGTTAGCTTTCATCACATGGAACCTGTTAAATAATGACTAGCTCCCACAACAAAAGTCATCACAGTTCCGCATATGTGACCGTTGTGAGTTAATTTCTGTACTATTGGTGCTGTATGAACGCCTTCTGAGTACATCTGGCCCGCTCATCTTCTGAGCTGGAATGTAATTGTGCCCTGTAGAGCACACACTTTACATGTCTCCTGTTTAAGCAGCATCCTTTGTCGCCAGTGGCAGGCCAACACCTTACCGCCTGTGGAATGGCGCGTGAAGGTGCTTTTCTGGCCGTTTTGAGTTTTTCTGGTGCGTTTCACAATATTTTTAATAGTGCCATTTTTTCACTGCCCTGCACAGTGAGGAAGTTCTTTCTGTTCTGTCACTTGAGAAGAGGGAAGGAGGAAAATCTTTTAAAAGTCAGGGATGACATGACTGTGGAGCTCCTGGTTTGTCAGGGAGCCTCCTGAGCAGATGTGATATTTTGAGCTACTTTAAATTTTTTGTCCTTTTTAATTGAGTAGATGCCACATTGGCAACACGCAATTAATTCCAAGTTCCCCTTTTTGTCTTCAACATTCCACCCTTAGCATGGATGGCTGCATAGGTGAGCAGAGAGCCCATTCAGTGCTCAGCGTAAGTTATAAGGAAAATAAAATTAAATGGAAAGATGTAAGAATATGAAGTTGAGTAACAACAGCACCTGCATCTCCCAAGTTCAAAATCGCATCGATTTATTAAAACAAGTAAGATCTTGCTTTTAAGTCCGCAACAGATAACAGAAAATTTGCCTCTTCTCCATACCACAGAACACCAAGTTTCATGCTCTGCCATCAAACATCAGTGTCTGTGGGGTACTTGGTGGAAGTGAATCACAGGGGAAGTATTTTTTTCCTCTTGGGAATAACACTGCCATTTGTTTAAAGCAGATGGCAAAAGGGATTAAATCACATAGCAGTGTGATACCAAAGTGAAAAATATGTCGTTATATGTCATGTGCAATTAATATATTTCAAGTAACACTTGCTTTTCAGCTCTGCAGCACTAGGGTTTTGTAGTTCTGTTACTAATTTTCTCATCTCAGAATACTTTTTCTCATTTCTGAACATAACCACAGTAGATGCAGCAGTTTTAATTAAGGCGGTTAATGATGTTCTGGTTTTATTTTGTACGCTAATGTAAGTACAGAATTTCCTGTGTAATGCCCCTCTGATTTTAATCTTTCTCGTATCTCCTCATTTAGAGCTCATTCATTAGGAGGGAAGTTTAAAACAGTGTACATCTGTAAGGTGATGAATGGAGTGAGGAGATTGTCCATATTTGTCTTTTGAGGTTCCGCTGGTGTTGGTGTAAATCTGCACACCATACTCAGGGTTTCATTGCCTGCAGACTTCCTAAACAACAACAGGATGATGACCAAATTTTTCTCATTTTCCTCATATTTACGGTTCCAGCAACTTCCGTGCAGTGGTTTTTGAAGTCAGTGGAATTACTGGCATCAATGAAACTGGAATGGTTTGGACCATATCTCTTACACACAGATCTATTCTTTATTTAGGTATGATTGTTCCAATAGATACAGGTTTTAGGGAAGTAGAAGGAGGGAAAGGAGCATGTTTTGAATCAGAAGACCCTGGGCAAGGGGCCTTTTGCCAGACAACAGGGTTGTGATGAAGCAGCTCCAGCTTAGGGTTGTGCAGAGATGTGACTTTGGCAGCAAGTCCACAGGGACGAGGGGATCTCTCAGGAAAAGCAGTCACAAAACAAGAATCTTGCTGATTGTTATTTGATGTCGGGAAGATACCTTGGGAGGTCCATGTTTTCTTCAGGTAATGTGATCTGTGGGTGGAGACCTGGTTGCGTGCCCTGCGTTAGTATATTAAAAATGTTTTGTATACATTTTGTAATGGAGTTAGAGCCTGAATTAGATGCACAAGTATGAATAAATAATGCATCCTAATGGGCAGGAGAAGCTGTTTATGGATGATCAAATTTTGCAAGATACTGAGTATGCAAACACACCCTGTAAAATCATGTAGCTGAATCACCAAGTGCATCTGTCTGGCTTATTTTGAAAAGTACAATCTCATTTTAATTATTTAGTATAATGCTTTACATATTCCAGGAAATGGCCTGTAGCATGTTGTGTAAAAGTAATGAAGTCTTAGTAATATGAAACCTCCTCATCAGCATCTGCTGTTAAATATTTATTGAGAAACTGGGGAAGATTGTCTGTCTGTCTTTTACTGGCATTCATCACAGCAGCACTCGATTGCCTTCCACATAAATCATATTAGCTGTAGCCAAACAACTAGAGGAGATCTTGTTCTCATGGAGTATCTTGTTCTGCCTCCCCAGATGCTATTGGAAACTTTCCTTTGGGTGTAAATTTTTGGTGGGGCAGTAGAGGGGAGGAGCCTTGGTGCTGTCATGAAAGTTGGTTTTAGTTTAATCAAATAGAAAGACTTCCAACAGTCACCTGCTGAGATTCCATGAGTGTCCCGTGGCAGTTTAATCTAGAGCTGGAACATAAATGGTACAAAAATAAATGTGATTTGGCTGTATTTGTTTAGGGTCTGCCACAGAAAAATCAAAGAAACCCGTGTGCCTTTAAAAGTCATTGAATATGTTCCACGTTAAAGAATACATGACAGAGAGGGGAACTAGTATATTTGGCAAGGATGAAAAGAGATTTTTTTTTTTCTTTTTTTAATTGAGGTTGAGAATTGCAGGATAGCTGTTGCTGACAGGAAGAGCTGCAGAGAAGCTGTCTCCTATGGAGAGGAACTGGCCATTAGAGCACAGTGGCAGTGGGAGGGGGATGAAGGTCCTACAAAAGGCTTCTGTGTTAAACACGGGCAGTTTTGAACTGAAGGAGAAAATGAATGCAGGAGGGTGTTTTAAAACATAGCATCACTTTCCCTGCTGTGGGCAAGTGGCCCGCTCTCTGGAGTGGAGGGATGGGACTGGTACAGAGCTGCAGTGCCTGAAAGCAAGGGGGTGAGAAGGCACTGGAGGGAGTCAGACCAAAGCAGAGCCAGGGTCTACAAAGGTGCAGCTGCAGGAATAGAGACGAAGAAAACTTGTAGTAAAGGCAAGGTAGGAGGGGGTGGTAATGAATTCGGACTTAAGAGTAGGACCAGTGTTGCCTATAGCGGACAGAAGTGGGAGCAGAAGAAAGAAAAGTGGATCCAAGCACGTTCCATGCATTCAAGGAAAGCACTTGGCTGAAGGGATGAAGGCACATACTTATTTGATAATTGTGCTTTTTTCTGGCTTTGATGTACAGTTTTCCCTTTAGCTTTTATGCAAACTGTTTTTACAGCAGTTTTATGTTCACAGAGTGTTTAGCAAACAATTAAAAAGGGCACTCCTTTCAAAACATTCTATCAGCGTGCACACAGCATTTAGCAAACAATTAAAAAGGGCACCCTTTCAAAATATTCGATCACACCCTGAAATTTCCTATGCTTATGATGCAAAACTTGGGGAATGTGCAACTTTTCAATTTTTGCTGTTTTTTTTTAATGACTGCAAGAAAAAGCATCAGTGCGTATACTTCCTGCCAGCCTAACTAAAAATGGATAAAAATGGCTGTGCTAATACTCAAACTGCAGTCAAAAATCAGTGACTATTTCCTTGTGTTTTGAGGTCAGGGGAGAACAAGTATGCCTGTGACTATCAGATAAGAGGCTTCTCTCAGATGCTAGTAATGCCCATATTTTTCCCTGCATTAATCAGTGAGCAGCAGCTTCTATTGACAGGTAAGATTAGCATGTAATTGATTTGAAACAGGTGCTTTGCATCAATTTTTGCTTTTGCAGCAATTCTATATATTGGCTTAGTATCCCTCTGCCACTTACTCTGAGTTTTGATCTTGTCAGCTTTTATGAGTAAGAATTGATGGATGTGGTCTGTTGTTGGGAAACGACCAAGGTGCTTAGGAGAAGGCTTGAGAGTGTTTTATACATGACCTCCCACTTTCAGCTTTTGTAACAGAGTTGTGCCCTTTTGCTATTCAAGAAAATATTTGCCAAAGTCCAGAGCACACTCCTTTGTGGTGCACCTGGAAGACCAGCCAAAAGCTGGGGGACAAAACCAAGGACTTTGATTTAATGTTTATTTCAAAGCAAAATTGTAGTTCAAAAAAAAAACCAACCCTGAACCATCCATAAAATATGAAGCAAAGTTAATCAGCAAATGTCTGTCTGTGGTAACAGAGAGCTCTAAAGGATAGTTTTGATGTGTAAATGTCCCCTTTTGTTTCAAAGGGAGTGAATTCATGTGCCAGAGACACTGTTTTTTCAGGGTTAATGATACCTGTTCCTC